ACCCCATGGCCACCGAGTGGATCTCAGCTCACAGTAACTCAACGGAACAGCCCCATCAGTTTCCAAGGCTGCAAATAGTCATCATGGGCGTGGGCAGCCACATCTCACATATCCCCTCCCACCCCCCCACCCCCGGAAACTGCTGACTTGCAGCTGCCAAGTTTTAGGTTAACAGCCAAGAGCCTAAGCCTGCCCCAGCAGGGGCGCCTCTTGAAGACAGGGGCTTTTAGAAATTCACAAAGCTTAAAAAAAACAACAGAAAAAAAAAAAGCCCTTCCCCCCTCCATTACAGTGTAATTTTGAGCTTCTAACCATTGATAATCCCCACTGGTCTATATTTTAGAAATCTGATCCAGTATTTCCTAACTATTTGTCTAAAATAAACAATGCCTCTGTTTCCCAAAACTCTTCCCCAGAAATGTTACCTGCATCTTGCAAGATGCATTCAGTTTACTAATCACTATTGAAAATAGAGACGCCGGCGGATTAAGGACCGAACTCTGAACTGGAACCCAGAGAACCCGGCTTCTCGGTTTGATTTATTTGGCTTTTCAATTGCTATCAAGTCACTTCCGGCTCATGACAGCCCCCACGTTTGTTCGAGTAGAACTTGATTCCAGGTTTTCAGTGACTGATTCTGTGAAAGGAGACTGCAGGACCTTGCTTTTGAGATGCCTCTGGATAAGACTCCAGCCTCCACCTCTTTGGTTACCCAACTGATATATGGCTCTTTATATGACCCCAGGGACTCTGCTAATAAATAGGATATGATTGTTGAAGAGTGGCTTCACCCGATTTGGTCTCTGTTTTCTATAAGTCTAGTAAACTGAGGCAAAGTAATGATTCTAAAGGCTCTTCCAACCTTTTTTTGTGGTTGTTTTTTTTTGTTTTTTTTTTTAAATAAAATCACTGAACACAATGCATTAAACGTTTACATAATAAGCATGTCCCATGAGCATGGCCACATTTACTACTCGTTAGAGTCCCATGGAATGAAAGATGTGTTTCTGTTCTCCAGAAGTTTCCAGTCTCTCAAGCAGATGAAGGTCCCAGTACAGTACGGTCTCTCCACAGCACCAAATTTTCAGTAAATCTAATTCTTCATCTCTAAAATGGCAACGTGCCTCCCTACAGAACCCTACAAAGCTTAAATCTGTGTCACAGTGCTAAATAAGCACACAGTCTGGTCACAAAAGGCCACAGAATGTATGATTCCATGTATGTGAAATGGCCAGAAAACGCAAATTCCTGCAGACACAAAGGGCCGAGGCCTGGGCTTGGTGTCAGGTACGGGGCTTCTGTCTGAGGTGATGAAAATGTAACATCAGAGTAAAAAAGAGTGTGAGGGAAAAAAACAATCAAAGAAGTAAGGAAATAATTAGCCCAGAGCACTAATGAACTGTGTGAACCCCAGCCTCCACAACCCTGAGACCAGATGAGGGGGCGCTGGAATCATGAGTTAAACCCTAGCTAGAGTAGCAGAAAAATGTGAAACAAAACTAAAACTAATAAAAAGACCAGACTTGGTCGTCTGATAGAGAAGACTGGTGGAACTTCCGAGATTATGGCCCTTAGACACCCTTCAAGCCAGGAACTGGTTTCACTTCCGGGTCTCAACTGTAAGTTACACACAGACAGTTCTCTGAGGTGAACAGACTCCGTAGAGCAATCAGCCATGCTAGATCAAAAAGGTGTGGTGGTGTGTTGTTGTTGTTGTTAAGTGCCTTTGAGTTGATTCCGACCCATACTGACCCTGTATAGGGTTTCCAAGGAGCAGCTGGTGAGCTTGAACCACTGACCTTGCAGTTCATATGACTTTGCAGTCTGATGCATTAGCCCACAGCACCACACCTAAGCTCTTTTTTTTTTTTTTTTAGTTTCTTAAGGTGGTAGCTTAGAATGTTGATTTTAAACCTTATTACATAGGTATTAAGTGCTATAAATTTTACTCCAAACAACACAAAACGTGTCCAACACAAATTTATGTGAGTATTTTTTGCTTTCATTTTTATTCAGTTCAAATTATTTTTTAGTTTTTCTTAAGATTTCTTTAATGCATAGGCTCTTTCAGTTTTGTTTTGTGTGTGTGTGTGTGTGTGTTTTTTTTTTAATTAACTGCTTGGGGATTTTCCAAGTACATTTTTAATTTTGATTTCTAATTTAATATTGCTTGGTTAGAGAAGGTGCTTTGTATAATTTTAATCGTATTAAGTTTGAGAGTTGCTTTATGCTACAAAATGTGGTCTTTTTTGGTACATATTCTGTGTGTACTTGAAAAGAATGTGTGCTCTGTGGTTGGGTATTGTGTTCTGTTGGGTGTCACTTAAGTGGTAATATTATCATTATCACCCCAAGTAGTTAATTTAAAAAAAAAAAAAAATCGAAAGAATTTAAGAAAAACTAAAATGTCACCTAACTTGACTTGAGTGACACCCAACAGAACACAATGCCCAACCACAGAAAGCACATTATTTTCAAGGTTGGTTTTTTTTGTGTGTGTTTTTTTTTATATCCTTGTTCTATCGGTTCTCAAGAAAGGAATCTTGAAATCTCCAGTAGTAATTTTTTCAATTCTAATATTTTAAAGTTAATGAAAGTAGAGGGTTATAATGTTTAGTTTATCTGGAAGTTGTCGGGTAGATTTCAAAAAAAAAGAAGTTATTTTAAGGGATAGATGTATTCTTTAATCTGTTATGGATTCACACACTTGGGCTCAAGTCCTAGTTCAACTATGTGTCCTCTCAGCAACCATTTGGAGCCTGGTCTCATAAAAAGGATCATGTAATCTGCATGATGCTATCTGTATGACGCTTTTACTGAATTTAAGTGAGATGTATGCAGACGTATTAACGTGACTGTAGCTATTCTAATATTGCTTTTATATTGTTATTTTAAAAAAAAAAAAAAAACCTTGGTGGAAAGTTAATGTTTTCGTATTTGTTCAATTTTTATTCTACTCTTACCGTGACTTTGTATACCCTTTTTCTGTTGCTTTTAAATAACCTAACGTTTATCAGCATTCTTTTCAGAGCCTTAATAGAGCACAGGTTGCCTTGATTTCTTGTAAACACATTTTGTTCTACACATCGTTGTTGTCACTTGACAATGGAAGTATTAAAGCTAAAACAAAAGTCTTGGTACAGTGGGTATACTTGCAAACCCAAAATGAAATCCGACCCATCACTGTTGGGTCAGTTACCACTCATAGCAAAGCTGTGGGACAGAGTAGAGAACGGCTTTTCCGACTATAAATCATTTAAGGAAGCCAGCTGCCTCATCTTTCTACCCTAGCGTGGCTGAAAGCTTGCAGTTAGCAGCTGAGAGCTGAATCACCGAGAACAACCAGAGTTGCGTTATTGTTGTGTGTCATTGAATTGGTTCCAACTCATAGTGACCCTGTATAGGATTTCCAAGGAATAACTGGTGAGCTTGAACCACTGACCTTGTGGTTCAAACTGACCTTGCAGTCCAGCGCATTAGCCCACTTATATACAGATAAATCAGATAGCATTGCTGTAAAATCATAGGACCCTTTATTAAACAAAAATACCAAAATGAGATGCTGTTGTTTTTCTATATATCCTCCCACTAGGTCTGTGCACTTCTAAAGGTGGTGTTTCCCTATCTCTAACTCGGACCTTTGAAGGATAAGCAGTGGACCATAAGGTCGGTTTGAACAGCAAGGTCTGCAGTTCAAACTCACTAGCTCTACCTCAGACACCCTATACAGGGCTGCTGTGAGTTGGAACCGACTCAACAGCACTAAACAACAAAACTCTGAACCAAAGAGTTCTGCGCTCTTCCCTTTACTCCCCATCAAAATGACAATTTTGACATCCTTTTGTTGTTAAGTGCCATTGAGTCGATTCCGAACCATCGTGACCCTGTATAGGGTTTCCAAGGAGCAGCTGGTAAGCTTGAACCACTGACTTTGCAGTTTAAACGGCTTTGCAGTGTGACACATTATCCCACAGCGCCACACCAGGACTCCTTGACATCCTTAGGGGACTGAAATTCTGTTCCTTTTCAGTGTTCTTTGGGTCTGGGGAGTAAAAAGAAGCTCCCATGTGCATGACCAGGGCTGTAGAATGGATGGGGTAAGGCTTCCCAGTGTAATTCCCACAGGACAGCCCTCACTACCCTGGAAGAGTGAGCTAGTAGATGGTTGGGATGGGAACAGTTCCCGCAATACAACTTTCCTGGCTTTTTATCACCAAAGAAGTTTTCAGTTTTCCTAAAACTTCTTCATAATAAGTCCACGTGCATGGTTATCTTGTGTCCTTAAAAAAAAAAAATCTGTCAAGATTACTCCTTTGAAATCCTAACAAATAGTCACTGTGATCTTTTGAGCTGACCTCTCTGCCTGGAATTAACAGCCCCAGGAGACCCTCTTAGAAGCCACTGTTTTGACTGTACCCTACTTGGTGTGTGGCGCTGTGGGTTAATGCGGCAGACTGCAAAGCCGTGTGAGCTGCAAGGTCAGCAGTTCAAGCTCACCAGCTGCTTCTCGGAAACCCTATACAGGGTCGCTGTGGGTCTGAATCGACTCGACGACACTCAACAACAACAAGGTAACCTAAAAGGAGCTCTGGTAGCGTAGTGGTTACGAGTTGGGCTGCTAATCTCAAGGCCACAGCAGTTTGAAACTACCAGCTATTCCACAGGAGAGAAAGATGACGCTTTCTGCTCCCGTAAAGATATACCTCCCCGGAAACCCTCTGTAGGGTTGCTGTGGGTCGGAACCGAGTCCACAGCACACCACCACCACGGTACCCTAAAAAGACTAAGACAAATGTGTTACTGACAGAACTTGTCTGCAGCCGTCCACTGATTGCAGGAACATGTTTAAATGTCTTGTTTGGAATAAACCCATGAACACAAAAAAAGTGGAACCCTAGTAGCAGTACTTTTTGACTTGCCTTTGCTTATATACTTGGAGCAGCTCCAAAATGATCGCACATGGCGTCACTGAAACAAAGTCTGTTCTTCTTTGCCTTTAGATAAACCAAGAAAGCTGGTGTACAATCGAACCGTGCTCAAAACCGACGTCTCTTTTGGCTTCCAAGCAGAATCCAGGTAAGCTGAGGTTTTCCAACTTCCACTATACTTAAAAAATTAACTTTAAAAATGACATTTCCTTGAACCCAAAAAGAAGGAAGACACCAAACCCTTGGTTGTAGAGTCGATTCAGACTCCGGGGCCCCGCACAGCGGAAGCGGCCCCAAGTGTTTTCCATGGTACAGTCCTTACAGAACCAGACTGTCTGCCACATAGTCCTCCCAATATGCAGGTGTGTGCTTCAACACTGCACCACCACAGCGCCGGATCGAGTCAGGTGGTTGTTAAAGTGCCATCCAGGTGGTTCTGACTCATAGTGACCCTGGATAGGGTTTCCAAGTAACTAGTGGGTTTGAACCACCGACCTTGTGGGTCACAGTGCAGTGCTGGTCCCAAGGCACCACACCAGGACTCTTCCTCGAGTCCTAGCTCCACTCTCATAGCTCGTTACTGTACATGGAGAGCTGTTCTTTCTTAGATGGTTTGCAGTTCATCACATGTTGAGTTTGTAGGCATTTTGTCTCAGAATTGAAAGGGTGAGCATATATCATCACCTAAATTTCCTTTTTACTGGTAGAAGATTTCACATTCTTTTCACCTGTGATTTATTTATTCATCTGTGAAGGCATCTGTTCTGTGCATATCTATGTAGAATATATAGGTCTTTTAATCTGGTAAAACTATAAAAGTATTTTATTAGTTACTAAAGCCCTGCTACTCAGTCTGGGCTGTACACTGGAATGATCTGAGGAGCTTTAAAGTTTATTCTTAGGTTTTGAGTCCATTGTGTTTGCCACTGTGTCAGTCCATCCTGTTGGGGTCACCCTCATTTTAATTGAGCCCCGTTTTACCAAGCGTGATGTCCTTCTCCAGTGACTGCCCCTCCTGGTTGCTCCTGAAACGTGGCCAAAGTCTGAGAGACAAAGTCCTTGTTCCTGAGGAACGTTCTGGCTGTGCTTCTTCTAAGGCGGATTTGTTTGCTCCTCTGGAACTCCGTGGTCCTTTCAGTGTTCTTTGCCAATATCGTCATTCAAATGCATCGAATCTTCTATGATTCTTTCTGTTCATTGTTCAACTTTCACATGCCTATGAGGTGATTAAAAACACATGGTCAGCTTCTCCTTCATCCACAAATTGACTTCTTTGCTCTTGAACACTTATTATAGAGGTCTGTGAAGCAGGCTGGCCTAATGCAATCCGCTGTTCCAATTCCTGACTGCTGCTTCTATGAGCATTGATTGTGGATCCCAGCAAAATGAAGTCTGTGACCACTTCAGTCTTTCCTCTCCATTTATCACCATGTTCTCTCATTTTCTTTACATTGAGATAGATGCAGTCCATTCTGAAGGCTGTAGTCTTTGATCTTCATCAGTATTACTAGGTTCCCTCATTTGAGGGATGGGGAAGCGGGGTGCTGTAAGGATGATGCAAGTTGTAATTTTAAGTCTTTGTCTTTGATCACAGCTGCTCAGTGAACACACTGGTAACTTGCATTCTGGGTTTTTGAGTCATTTATACCTAATTCTGTTTACCATTCTAGTGTTTACTGACATGCTTTAAAAATTGCTGACTTCTTTTCATTTGCTGGTCTTTTTAGAAACCGTTTAACTGTGTTGTTGTTAGATGCTGTTAAGCCGGTTCCGACTGCTAGGAACCCAGTGTACAACAGAACGAAACACTGCCTGGTCCTGGCACCATCCTCACAATGGGTAAGCTTCGGTCCATTGTTGGTGCCACTGTACCAACCCATCTAGTTGCCGGGGGCTCTTCCTTTTTTTCACTGATCCTCAACTTTGCTACACATGATGTTCTTCTCCAGGGACTGATCCCTCCTAACAACATGTCCAAAGTATGAGAGACAAAGTCTCACCATCCTAGCTTCTGAGGAGCATTTTGGCAGTACTTCTTCCAACACAGATTTGTTTGTTCTTCTGGTCGTCCATGGTACTTCTATTATTCTACAACACCGTAATTCAGATGTATCAATCTTCTCTGGTCTTCCTTATTTATTGTTCAACTTTCACCTGTATATGAGGCTATTAGAAATATCATGGTTTGGGTCAGGCACACCTTAGTCCTCAAACTGACATCTTTGTTACTAAAAAATTTACAGTGGTCTTTTGCAACAGATTTGCCTAATGTAATACATTGATTGATTTCATGAGTGCTGCTTCCATGAGTATTGATTGTGGACCTAAGCAAGATGAAATCTTTGTGAATGTCAGTCTTTCTCAGTTTATCATGGTATTTATTGGTCCAGTTGGGAGGATTTTTGCTTTTTCTTTTTACATTAAGGTGCAATCCATCCTAAAGGCTGAAGTCTTTGATCTTCATCAATAAGTATTGCAAGTCCTGTTCCCTTTCCACAAGCAAGGTTGTGTCTTCCATATATCATAGGTTGTCAATGAGCCTTTGTTCAATACTAATGATGTGTTCTTCTTTATGTAGCCCAGCTTCTTGGATTATTTGCTCTGCCTACAGATTAAATGTTTGCTAAGTTCTGTCGATTTGGTTCCAACTCATAGCGACCCTGTATAGGGTTTCAGAGGTGTAGCTGGTGGATTGAATTGCTGACCTTGTGGTTCACAGTCCAGTGCAGATACACAGCGTCACAAATAGATATGGTGAAAGAATACAACCCTGCTTCCCACCTTTCCTGATTTTAAACCTGGTGTTGCACTGTAGACTCAGCACTGGACTGTGAACTACAAGGTCAGCAGTTCAAATCCACTAGCTGCTCCTTGGGAACTTTACACAGGGCACTTACCAGCAGGTATCCCATTGTTCTGTTCTAGTGACGATTATCTTGGTCTTTATAAAGGCTCCTCATGAGCACAATGAAGTGTTTTAGAATTCTTATTCTTCACAATGTGATCCATAAGTTGATTATGATCCACACAGTCAAATGCCTTTGCAGAGTTAATAAAGCACAAGTAAACATCTTTCTCGTATTCTCTGCTTTCAGCCAAAATCCATCTGACTTCAACAGTGATATCCCTCGTTCCATGTCCTCTTCTGAATCTAGCTTGAATTTCAGGCATCTGCCTGTCAATGTACTGCTCCAACCATTTTTGCATTATCTTCAGCAAAATTTTACTTGCATGTCATCTCAATGATATTGTTAGATGATGTCTGCATTCTGTTGCGTCTCCTTTCATTGGAAAGGGTAGTTTCCAATCAGTTGACCAGGTAGCTGACTTCCAAATTGCTGAGCCTCTAGTGCTTCTTCAGTTGGTTGTAACGTTAGAATTTGTTTGTATTCCTTCAATTTCTGAAGCCATGTTTTTCACCAAAGTCTTCAGTGTAGCTTGGACTTCTTCAGTTCCATAAGTTCTTGATTGTATCTTGAAATGATTGACCATCCCACCCCCTCTTTTTTTTTTTTTTTTTTTTTTTTTTGGTACAGTGATTCTTGTGTATTCATTCTATTCATTCTATTTTGGATGCTTCTTACAACATTCAGTATTTTGCCCATAAAATTCTTCAGTAATGCAACTGGAGGCTTGAATTTCTTTCTTCAGTTCTTTCAACGTCAAAAACGCCGAGCATGTTCTTCCCTTTTGCTTTTCTAATTCCAAGTCTTTGCATTTGTAAACTATTATAATGATATTCCATTTCATTATACTTTATTTTCTTGAGCTGCTTTTTGAAATTTTTGTTCAACACTTGTTAGCTTCTCTATGTCCAAGAGCAAGTTTCAGAGTCTTTTCTGACATCCATCCACTTTGGTCTTTTTTCCTTTCTTTCTTTCCAGTCTTTTTAATGACCTTTTGCTTTCTTCATGTATGATATCATTCCACAATTTTTCTGGTCTTCTGTTATTAGTGTGTAGAATGCATGAAATCTGTTCTTAAGATTGTCTCTAGCATCAAGTGAGATACGCTCAGGGTCATATTTTGGCTCTCATGGACTTGTTTACTTTTCTTCAGCTTCAGCCTGAACTTGCATATGAGCCACAGTCTGCCCCTGGCCTTTTGTGGCTGATGATGTGGAGCTTCTCCATGTCCCTTCCCACAGATGTGGTCAATTTGTATATTTCATATGGTGAGGTCTACTGCATAGTTGTTTTTTCCACATGTATAGTTTGCCCCTTATATTGTTGTGAAAACATATCTGAAATGAATAAATCACTAGTCTTGCAAAAATCTATCATGCAGTATCCAGCATCGTTTCTATTATTCAGGCCATATTTTCCAACTATAGATCCTTCCACTTTGTTTCCAACTTTTACTCATTAAAAGTTAATCAAGGAATCCTGATTGCATGTTTTATCAATTCAGACTGAGTAAGTTGGCCGAATTTTTCAGTTTCATTATCACTGGCTTCAGTGGTAAGTGCATAAATTTGAATAATAGTTGTATTAATAGGTCTCCCTTGTAGGCATATGGATATTATCCTTCACAGAGACAGCATTGTACTTCAAGATACATTTTTAAATGCTCTTTTTGACAATGAATGCTACCCCATTCCTCTTCAGTTTGCCATTCCCGGCACAATAAGTCATGTGACTGGTCAATTCAGAATGGTCACTGTCAATCCATTTCTGCTCATTAATGCCTAGGATATCCCATTTCAATTAGGACAACTTCCAACTTTCCTACTTTCATGTCCCTCGTCCTGATTATTTATGGATGTTTACAGCTATTTCTCATCATTTTTAATTGCTCCCCAGCAGCACATGAAGTGCCTGAGAAGTTTACTCCATCCACATCATCATGATCAGCTCAGCTCTACTTTGAGGAGGCAGCTCTTCCTCAGTTGTATTTTGAGCACTTTCCAACCTGAGCAGCCCACCTTTGGGCACTATGTATGACTTTGTTCCACTGCTGTTTATGGGTTTTCAGATGCTAACCATTAGGAAGTAGTTCACTTGTCCTTTTTCCTCATCAGTTTTGGTTCAAGCTCAGCTGAAACGTGTCCACCGTGGATGATCGTGCGCCCATGTAAAATAGCACCGGCATAGCCTCCAGCATCATAGCAACACACAGCCACCATGGTGTGACAAACTCACAGACACG